TGACCATTTCGCCAAAAACTCAACTCATATCATTCCACAACCACCGTATTCGCCTGACTTAGCACCATCTGACTTCTGGCTGTTCTCAAAACTCAAAAGGCCACTCCGTGGACACCGTTTCGAGACGATTGAAGAGATAAAAGAAAAAACGACGAGTGAGCTGCGGGCCATACCTACAGACGACTATGCGGCATGTTTCGAAAATTGGAAAAAGCGTTGGCACAGTTGCATTGCAACCGGGGGGGACTACTTTGAGGGGGATGATACGAATGTGGATGAATAAATAATTTTTGAAAAACAAACAAATTATCGATACTTTTTGCCCACAGTAGTATCAACAAATTCTCAACAGTCATTTATTATTTTCAACAATATTTATTACTTTTATATATGAATCTACTAGGAACTTTGATTGGTCTTTGATCATTCTCTTATGTCCTATGCGTTATGCAAAAATCTATTTTGCGGCCTTAACTCAACGATCTCAAATACTTCATGAAAAAGTTCAACCAGTTGACCAGTTAATTGCTTTAAGGCTAATAATATTATAATATATTCATCTATTTTTGTTTGTTTTGTTTGTTTTGTTGTCGTACGACAACAAATTTTTCAAACTTGTTAACTGCGGGATAGAGCTTCTCTAATCTTTTTACCTGCAACTGATATTGACACGCTTGAAAAATTTGTTTTACGACACAAAACGGATGAATGAAATTTTAATCTGAAAGGTATGTTTATAAATTTCTTTGTTCTGATTGGTCAATTGAATGATTGTTAGGTATTATAACACCAAGATGCATACACTTGCCCACAGTTCAATTGCACACATCGGTCGATTCTTAGTAATTTTTAAGTATTTTACCAATGAGATTATATAATATTATTTCAAAATTTTGCCAATTAGCTATGTAAGTAATTGATATACATTTGATTACTTGATTCCAGTCAGAAAAATGATGTTGATTCCACGTTGAACAAATTGATAATCAAATATATTGAAAAAACTGATTTATTTTGAATAACATAATATAACTTTTATATCTGTTTGAAATAGTGTAAATAGATAAGTGTTAGAGTAAAAATTAAATTCTAACAATTAGTCAAACATAACTGGACAGTTCTTTTTGTGATTCAAGGTTGACATTGCTGTGTGGTTCGCGTCTTCTTCATATCCTTCTTCATGTAATAACGTAATTCTCACACGCGCCATTTTGTCTGTACTATTAAATAAATACTCGGTTTCTTATTTAATTCTAACACTTTTTCTTGTGTATTCCCCTTCGAAATTCTAACATGGTAGCAGTCCGTGATTGAAGAAGACTCTCTCGGTTTATACACGTATAAAAAGTAGAAGTTACGTCGTTCGCCTGCGGAAAGGAAAATTCTAAGTCGATTGCCAATTCACATGTCGTTAAACATAGAATATCATGGAATTAAAAAATTGCGAGGTGCCGAAAACTGGAATGTGTGGAAATTTACTGTAAAAAATTTATTACGCGAAAACGAAGATGAGAGTATGAAGTAAATATCGGTAAAATTCAAAAGCCGATACCATTGCCTGCGGGTGCAATGAATGAGCAGCTCAATATCGAGAAAATCTAAAAACTTGAGGTCGATTGTGTTGCGAGCCAGATCATTGTCAAGATGGTGGATACGAACTCAGACAGCATAGTAACGTTTTAAAAATATATTTAAAACGTACATTTTGGACATATTAAAAACATCCAGATTAGATCCATGGATATTTAAAAAATGTTTTAAAAACGTCCAATGTTACCATTTTGAACTTCTTAAAAACGTCCATTTTAGGACGTAACTGGACTAAATTAATAATATATTAAATAAATTTTAGTTCATAATCAAGAAAATGATTCATGTAGATTTTTTGTCGTTGAAAATTTTCAACATACCACAGATATCCATAATATATTCAAAAGACGTTTGTACATAATAAAAATGCCCTTCAGATGTCCTTTGGATAAAAGGTATGCTGTGTGGAAACGATTCCGTAAATGAAATTGCTCTATTACGTCACATTTTTAACTATTTTAGCTCAAAAATATCCAAAAGTGCTATTTTCAATAACCTTAAGGCTCCTGATTAGTCGCGGCGGTCATGTTGAAATCGTAACGTCAGAAACGAAGAATGACATGTTAATTTATGTTGCATGCCATTTTTGAATAAAGACAATTTGGATGAATTAAAGATAGCCGAATACACGCGTCCGACCTATTATTGCCGAAGGTACGGCCCACCGAGCGCAAGGTGCACGGACTGCAAGGAGCGAGGATGGCCTGGCAGGCGCGGCGCGCCGTTTGAGCTTAGATACTCGCGATGATAAGCCCCGCTCCTCGCGGCCCGCGCTCTTGGTGGGCCGTACTTTCGGCAATAATAAGTCGGGAGGACGTGCATATTCGGCTATCTTTAAACGTTAATATCTTGTTAATTATTGCGAGCATTACAAAATGTAGAGGACTTTTCTACTCAGTTTAGTCCACTCTACTTGCTCGGGACGAGTGGGGCCGTATATTCATGCCACCCTGTATATCAATAATTTACTTAATTTTATTTAAATAAAATGTATGTAAAAGACAGAACAGTGCAATTAAAATAATCATCTTCATTTGTATTCATATGTAAATAATATGAAGAAATTATTTCAACAAAATTGAAATAACTAATATCATATTTATTTTATTATTTTTCCTTTCAAAAGAAAAAACTTTGACCAGGACACGTAAGAACGTTTATTAATATGAGCCTGAGTAGGTCGATAATTCATTTCTATGATTCAGCGACGCACTTTTCTTGACAGCGCCGCTGTCGGAATATCGCGGAACTAAAATACTGCTCGGTTTCATGGCTTCACGTCAATTTCACTCGTAATATACAAACGAAATTTTCGGAGACCCTTTTCTCTCATACCTCTACCTCGTTTCTAAAAGCATAGGATTGTTCTTTCAGGTTTTCTGCAATTCGCCAGCAACTTTTTATGAACGTGCAAGTCTGAAACTTTTACACGTAGCACATATTGTGACATATGTTGACTACAGAAGCCGATAACAAAACTGTAAGTCTTCGATTTTCTTTCGTTTTTCATATAATTGTAGTTGGCGAATTGCGCTGTTGTCGATACTTTAATTGTGGAGAAGGATTTTTCAATCCATAAACACAATTAAGAGAAAAGAGTCTTTAATAATTAATGGTAAAACAGAACACTTCAGCATCCTCTTAAACGCTACACGTTCTCTTAACACTAAGACACTACCATGTTTCTGGATTCAAGATATACCGCGTGGAGGTCGCACGATCGGACTTACGCTTCTTCAGGATGCTTTATTAAGAATCCGACAATGCGACCTCTACGTAGTATATCTTGAATAATACTAATATCAGTGGTACAAAAATTTTGAAATATCATAATTAAGGAAGATCTTGACTAAAAAGGATTTGTAATCAATGTTTCGAAAATGTAAGCTACAAGAATATTTCTAATAAAAATTGAAGGAGTTTTATTTAAAAAATAAATGTTAACCTGACTTTAAGGACATCTTCTCAACTAAGGTCACCAACTATTTTCCCCATTGAAACCATAAAAGCCATTTTGTTTGAAACATTTTTATTTTAAACTTAGAGATTTTGAAAAAATTGATTAAATACATTAAAATGATCCGTCTTGTGTATACAGGGTGAAGCATTTAAAACAAATCACCTGAATAACTCACTTGTTTTTAACAATAAAAGGAAAAGTGCCTAACCTAAAGTTGCATGGTTTCAAGGGGGATATATTTTGGTCATATTGTTTTTCTTTTAGTTGGAGGCGCTAAAAAAATATGAAGGTCACCTTCATTTTCTTAAACGGAATTGTATGATTTTTTTACACAATATAGTTCTTTTAATTTTTTTGTAAAAGTATTAAAGTAATGATATCAAAAAACCAATAGTTTACAAAATATTTTATATTTCATTCTGTCACATGTTGACATAAAATATTAAATATTTCGTAAACTATTAATTTTTTTATAATTGTATCTTAATACTTTTATGAACAGAATAATGAGATGAATCAATTGATAGAAAGAAAACACATAGTTGCTTTAAAAAAATATGTATGCAAAATGGATAATTTTTATATAAGCACCTATGTGTTTTCTATCCACTAATTGATTTATTTGTATATCGTGTTCAAAATAAAATTTTTATCTCGGAAACATAATATTATTGAAAAAAATTGTTCAGACAAAAATTATAGGATTCAAAAAGATCTATTTACTGATCTTATCAGTTTGACCTTAAGTAGCATCACCAAGGTCACCAAAGTCAAATTAAAGTCACATCGATTTTTACAAATAGAATACCTGACTTTTGTTTTCAGAATTTAATAACCAATGTCGAGAACTTTCCAAAACACTATAAAAAAATATTTTTTAATTAAGTACTTTTTGAGTTATGATGCTCGAAAGTTACAGTACCGCTGGTTAACATTACCCAAGGTATTCGATCGACGATTAAAACCTCTTGAATGTTCAAGATCATGTCCTGAATATTATTTGTCAAGATCAAAGCTATTAGAGATTGTATCTCTTATTTTTATTTTTACATAAAAATGAATTTTTAGTGCAACTTCTGTATTGTAACCTTCTGTATCATAATTCGAAAAGTACTCAATAAAAAATAACTTTTTTATAGTGTTTTGGAAAGCTCTCGACACCAGTTATTAGATTTTGGAATCCAGTAGAGTGTTCCATTTAAAAAAAATCGACGTAACCTTGACTTGACCTTGGCGACGTCACTCAAAGTCAAACTGATAAGATCAGTAAAGATCTTTTTGAATCTTACAATTTTTTTCTGAACAATTTTCTCTATAATATTCTGTTTTTGAGATAAAAATTTGTAACACTTTATTTTAAACATCTGGTATATATTTTAAAAATATTTTTTGCGACAATTAAAGAACAATTAATATTAATATTTTTCATTTTTTGTATATCATGTTACAGGGTTCCTCGGGGTATTTAAAGCGTGCAAATACTGAACGGCTCCATGAAATTTTTAACCAGGTAAATAAATGAAAAGTGCTTGAATATAAATTATTAGGATTATGTTTGAAGTTTCAGCGATTTTTATAATAATATTTTTCATAATTTAAAATGTTTATCATTGTTTTTTATTAATTATTAACAAATGTTTCTTCTTTTTCTCTCAATCAATTTATGCGTCATTTTTCTAATAAAGAATTATTTTATTTCGTTAAGAAAAATTAATCATTTTTAATAAATTGTAATTAGTGAAATTTCAGCTTAAATTTTCAACATTTTTATATTGTTATTTTATAACTCAAATTGTCATATAATTTTTTTTATTATATTTTCAGTTTTTGGATTTTTCTTAAAAATATCTATTAGAATTAACTCTAGTAGAATTAACTTTTTGTTATTATTTATTAATTATTTTTTTAACTATCATAAACTAAGACCGCTAGTCTAAATATGCACAGTATATATACATACAGAGTAACTCTCCCAGAGTAACTCTTGTTACAAGGCAATATCTCCGTTATCGTTAATGATACGCGAAAATGTCTAAGGAAGAAATTGTTTGGTTCGAAGGGACATACATTATGGTGGGAATTATTTCCTTCTCAAAATCATATTTTGAGAGCCTTCAAGGTCATCGATTTTTTTAAATAGGAATTATAATACTACATATTTTTATCATTGTAGTGTAATAGCTGTGAGATCAAGGCGAATGGCCTATAATACCCATGACTTTCACGTGAGTATGAAAAATTCAGAAATTTTGAAGAATGGGTGCGAATAATGAAATAAGTACAATAGGAAGTTTGGCATAGGACAATTTATTGTAATAAGTGTTCAAAATTGTTTCTATGGACTTCTAAACATTTGTTAATTCGAGTATTAAATGAACGTCACACATCTACGAATATTTGAGATGTTACAGAAACACAAGCTTGTCGGATTCTTTCTTTCATGTTGTCATGTGTAATAGTAGGCTTTGTCGAAAAAAACTTTCTCTTTGATAAAGCCCTATAGAAAGAAATTTTGGGGATTAATCAGGAAAACGTGGCAGCTTAGGAGTTAGACTTCCTCTTCCTATTCATTTACAGTAAGTCAAGTAAGAGCGTGAATGACCAGCGTGGTGTTGTACCATTATTAGCCTTGAGATAGGATCGAATAGTTTCGTATGATATATCTAAACCTTTCTGCGTCAATTTTGCTTGTCCTTGACGCAGCGTTAAGCCAAGATTCCGCGAAAACAGATTCACTATTTTTTTATCATCTTTTTTGTCCGTTTTGCATATCGAGCCACGTTCCGATAAATCATCAAAATTTTTTGCCACATTATATCGCTGCATCCACTTCTGTACGAATGATTTTGACTTTTTCATATATTTAGCAGCCGCTAATTGTGACATTTTTGGGTGAGTGCAGAGAAACACAGCTTCAGCGTGATACGTATTTGGTATTTATGGCGCTTAATGTGATTCTCTTAAGAAAGTTCAATGACAACTGAATCTTCCTTGATAGTGCATCAAGGACAAAGGTGCCTTCTACGGATTCATGATAGATTTAGGGCGATATCTTTTATTAGCTTTGAGTAAGGCCGACCACCATCTTACTTGCCTTACTATTTCGATATAAAATATTTAATGTATTAGTAGAAGAACGAGAGAGAGGGAGGGGGGAGGGAGGGATGAAGGGAGAGAGAGAAAGAGAGAGAGAGAGAGAGAGAGAGAGAGCGTAATGTGGCGGTGCATTGCTTGTTGAAACCATATAACATATATAATAAATGTAAAGATAGGGGAACATCTTCTAATGACGGAAATGTATTAAGCAAGAAATTTGTGTGCGTATTGCCATTAAAAGTCGTGTCAAAAAAATGGTCCAATTAGATAATCTCACAACACCATACATTCAACAACCAACGGTGTTGTAATTACACAGTTTGCATCCACCTAGGATTTACTGGAGACCAGTAATGCATATTATGTCGATTCACAGCTCCAATATTATTAAATGTAGCTTCGTCAAAAAAGTATTTTTGATAGGAATGCATCATTCTGAGTTGATTTTTAAAATTACAAAAATTCACTCTCTGGATAAAATTGTTTTCAGTCACTTCTTGATGTAAAGAGATGTGATATGGATGTATCCTATTATTACGTAAAATTTTTGAAATAGAAGATTTATTGGTACCACTTAATTGTCTAGTAGACAGGTGTGGATTTACTGCAATTGCTGCCATTCATAGCATCATTATTATTTGTTGCAGAACGTATTCTTTCTTGTTTTGGCAGATGAAAAGAGTTGTATCGAAAACGGTTTTCCATACGCTTAAATGGCATATGCAATTTCGCTAATCTTTCTGGATATCTGACTGCTTAGCAGCACATCTGTAGTTTCACTAATACTCACCTAATACCAACAACATATCTATGACATCGTTAATTGCGTCCATTCTCAAAACTTCCTCGATGTGAGTCTGCGAAATACCGAAGATTAACTAATGATAACTTTATTTACATACATACCCCCGAGCAGTAACCTTCATAGTTCGGTATATGATGCTTTCTTGTCAAAAATACTTTTTTCAGACGAAATTACATTTACTAGGTGGGGTGAAAAGTAACCTCCTTGGGAATGAAAAAAATTTTTTTCTTATGCAGAATCTCGCCCAAAATATGGCGTGTTCGCTCAGTACTAATCTTTGTAGCATCTGCTAGCTCGCGCACCTTCACTTTCCGGTCAGCCAACACCATTTCATGTATTTTTTTGACATTTTCCTCGGTAACCGCATCGGAGGGCCTGCCGCTGCGGACTTCATCGGTAGTGGAGTTGCGGCCACCACGAAACTCTCGAAACCAATATTTGACGGTGTAATCTGACGGAGTATTAGCCACATAATATTTATCCAACTTTTCTTTTGTTTCCTTCGCCGTTTTGCCTCTCAAAAAATAATGTTTTATGAGAGAACGAAAATCGTTTTCGCAAACACGTCAACAACAATCAGCTCTCAAAACAAAACTAAGGGCAGTATCGCACTGCCACTTGGCATGTCTGCCTAAATATGAACGGACTACAAGGCACCATAAACTTTTTTGCAGTAGTGGCGCATTCTGGCGGTCAAGGAGGTTACTTTTCACCCCATCTAGTAATAATATTGGAGCTGTGAATCGACACAATATGCATTACTGATCTCCAGTAAATCCTAAGTGGGTACAAACTGTGTAGTTTCAACACCATTGGTCGTATATTGAATGTATAGTGTAGTATTTGGGGTGACTATCTAATTGTACCACATTTTTTTGACATGACTCTTAATAGCAATACGTACACAAATGTTTTGCTTAATATACTTCCATCATTATTAGAAGATATTCCCCTATCCTTACGTATAGTTATGTAGTTTCAACAAGATTATGCACCGCTACATTACGCTCGTTCTTCTCGCAATGCATTAAATATTTTATATCCAAATAAATGGATAGGAAGAGGAAGTTTGACTCCTTGGGCGCCACATTTTCCTGATATTAATCCCCAAGATTTCTTTCTCTGGGATTTTATCAAAGAAAAAGTTTTTTTCGACAAAGCCTACTATTACACATGACAACATGAAAGAAAGAATCCGACAAGCTTGTGCTGCTGTAACATTCCAAATATTCATAGATGTGCGACGTTCGTTTAATACTCAAATTAACAAATATTTAGAAGTCCATGAAATTTTGAATACTTATTACAATAAATTTTCCTATGCCAAACTTTCTATTGTACTTATTTCATTATTCGCACTCATTCCTCAAAATTTCTGAATTTTTCATATTCAAGGTCACGTGAAGATCATGGTATTATAGACCTCAGCTATTATTACTTCGTCTTGACTTTAGCTATTATTACGCTATTATTACGCTATAATGATAAAAGTATGTAGTTTTATTTTAAAAAAGATCGATGACCTTGAAGGCTCTCAAAATATGACCTTAAGAAAGAAATAATTCCCACCATAATGTGTGTTCCTTTGAACCAAACAATTTCTTCCTTAGGCATTTTCATTAACGTTTTCTTAGACGTATCATTAACGGTACCAGAGATATTGTCTTGTAACGGAGTTACTGGGATATCCTGTATACAGAAATTTTGCTTTTTTGGTGAAATTACAGTACGCCTCACAGGAGAAGAATGGCGAGAGGTTCATGACTGCGTCTGACTTTGTACGCAGTTATCTTGGCCTTTACACGGATGCCGATTATAATCCCGATTCTGTCAATTTACTTGCTGGTATCGTCGATACTAGCAAAGATGGGTAAGTTGTACATCGATAGCATATTTAAAAAAGACATCATTATTGTACAATCGTGGACACAGAGATTGTTACATAGAGGTGTAATGTCTTTATTTCTATGTGAAGCTGATCCCACTTTTCAAATAGAGTTCTTATTGCCCTCCAAAGAGTTTTAGAATTCTCTATCAATTTTAGAAAGAGTTTTATCGATTAAAGCGATGAAAATATTAATTTGAAGTAGAGGAGTGGCTAACTTTACGAATTGAAGGGTCACAATTTCTTTATCTTTCTTAACATCTCTCGATACGTATAGAACAATTGATAAAATTTTTGGATGGAGGAGGTGGGGGGAGGAGGTATTATCAGACTCTCAAGAAAATACCGGATTTCCGAAATAAAAAAAATTTTTTTTTTTTTAGATTTTCGACATTTTGTTGTGATAATCTCTCAAAGAGTTCTAACGATTATCTTTAATGATCTTAATAATCAAAGAGCTATGATCGCGAACAAAAAAATTTTAGTGCCTTAGTAGAAAAATTTGAAAACTAAGATAGTGAATTTTGATACGAGACATCTTGTATCTCATCTCAGCTATTCTCGTGTTGTTTACCGATAAATTTTACGAGACCACTGACTATCATTTATTTTTTCATGTCAGTCTCGTATCGATATCGAGACTAAATCTCGAGAAGCAATCTCTCATCCAATCGTGCTTGATTTACACAATTGTTCAGGAACTGTCTTTTTTAAGAATCTATTAATTAAATATTTGTAAACATTTTAAACATTTATTTATAACATTACAAACTTTAATTTATTTATAACATTTTAAACATTTATTTCAACATTTATTTTTATGTGTTTATTTACTTTTAACATTTATTTATTTATTTTTATATTTTGACATTTATTGCGTATATTATTTATATTTAAATTTATATTTATTGCGTTTAACAAATGCAAAATATTATTTGCTAAGTCACAAGTCAACCAAGAATTTAAGCATAATAAGCACCTGACTGATTCATTAATTAATCTATTCCGGTGTTTTCTTATTATAAGTGAAGCTCTGAAAAATAAACGTTTAGCTGAAACAGAAGTTGCTAAAAAGTCTCTAGCCATGCGGAATAAGTTTGGATAGATTTTTGCATGCCTACGTCATTATAATACGAATTAGTCGTGTAAAGCAGAAAAATAATTATCAATTTCTTGTTTCCAGCGATTATATGGACTACATCTTTGTTCGATAAGAACTTTCCGTGTTTTAAACAAACTGTTCAATTGTATCGAATCCTCATCAGATGATATATTTTCATTATTTTTCAGCAATTAGAATTGTATCATTATTTAATATGTTATTTATATCCTTATTAGTGCTCTTTGTAAATTTCCTCAAATTTTTTCAACGAAGCATTAGTAATTTCTTTTCCCTATTTAGTAAGTTTAAAAAGTAAAGTCTCTTTTTTACATCGTGGATCAGAAATTAAAACAATGCAGTATATGTAATTCATTTTTCTATAATGTTTTACAAGTTTATCTCGGGCAGCAACCAGTGCTTCTTGAATATTGTAATGTACATATAAAAGATTTATCATCTTCATTGTATTTGCCAATTGCTTTTTCGATTTTATCTAATAACATATTAAATGTTACCACGGCGAGAGGCAATGTAACATATTTTTCTCCGTCAAGAATATCAGATAATTGTTTGAACAGACGGAGATATTGAAAAATTTTTGATAATATTTTCCAGTCATTTTCAAAAATGCAGAAGTTCCGTAAACATTTGTTGTTTTGATATAGTAAATCCAAAGCCTGTTTCATTCTAAGTGCTGCTTTAATCATTTCAAAAGTAAAGTTCCATCTTATATAATAGATACATCAAGAATTGGTGCAAGCGACTTAATATTTTTTGTTTCACAGCAAGTGTTAAGTTTATTTCTCAATTGTTCTGAATATTTCAATTTTTTGAAGAGAGATCGTAAATTTTGAAAAATGCCTTTTGCCAATTTTCCGCTGTTCTCGCTGGTTCTTATCATCGTTATTACTTTCATCAACCTTTTCAATACCATCGCTATTGTCATCTTGTACATCAGATTATTATTATTTTTAATATGCGAAGCATATCTTGGATTCCCAAATTAGCGATATGGGCGATATGGTACATCTGAAGTGTTATTCATCGGGATCGAAATTTTCACCATGTGCAGAATTCATTAAATAAGCAAGTTCCTCCATAAATGTAATATTAGCAGTAACATTGTTACAGTAATTTCTTATATTTTTTTTCCACAATCTAATTGTCCTAATACTCCATAAAAACAGGATTGGATAAAATGCCGAATTCAATTAAAAATATTAATTATAAAATATTTTTAAAAAGTGTATTTAAAATGCAAAATGGGTTTTTCGAATCATTTCATTTTAAATGTAAAATAGATAGGTATTTTAAATAGTTTTCGAATGCAAAATATTTTTCCTATTCTAGCGAACAAAAATTTTTACGAAAAAATACAGAAAAATTATATATTGTATAAATTGACAAAGTCTTAGAATCCATAATTTTTCGTAGATATTCATAGTGAGACATAGAGTGATATTGTTTGAAGGCGGAAGATTTCTTGGTTTTTCAAACAAACAATACTATTCTACGTCCCACTACAAATATTTACAAAAAATTAAGAATTTCTAAGATCTTGTTTCAATCTATATATAATAGTTTTTCGTAAAAACTTTCTGTTAGGGTGGTATACATTTTTTAAAAGTATTTTATGTTTGAAACTGAATTTGAAGCCCTGACTACAGTATTATAAATAAAGTATTTTTGTGTGACGAGAATATTTAAAATTTGTAAATATTATGATTTGGAAACGGGATCGTTTGCTTGAATAAATCAATATTAATATGAAAAGCGCCGGTTATGGTCAAGATTAGATGTTAAGAGTAATATACATTTTTAGAAATCTATATAGTATTTTACATAAAGCTAGAACATTAATTTTTTTATTAAGATTCGATATTTACGGACTAAATATCTGAATATTAATTTTCTCTTTACAGTTTATTTTATAATTTATTTAAATATTCATAAAAATCTTTGGTCAATCATAGGATTTGGTTCTTCTTATACGTCAACAGGGAAAATTTATGAAAATAAAAGAAAACCATTTATCTATTTTATAAATGATTAAATAATAGACATGATTTCATTTTAAATATATAATAAATGAAATTATTTTAAATATTACCCAGCCCTGTGTAAAAAAGAGTGGCAATTTCTTTGCCTGTATGCTGCCCATTTGATGGAACAAAATCTATTACTATTCTCAAATTCCATTCTTTCAATGAAATAATCTTATGCTGTAATATGATTTGTTTACAGTGGACGTCCATCCGTCAATTGTAAATGATATTTTAGATTCATTATTCTGCTAGAATAACAATCACAACCTTCTGCATTTCAAAAAATCGAAACTGTACACTTGTTTTCAGCGCATTTCTGCTTGGAACACGTGCCTGTTTATTTAAGAACTGAAACAGCGCCTTGCTTCCTTCGTTTTCAAAAAAATTAAATAGAAGATATTCTGGCAACTCAGCATTTTATTCAAACTTGCGTAAATTGAACCGGAATATGCATAATACATGCATATATTTTATACCATTCTTAATATAAACATTTAGTAACAAAAATATAAATTAAATGAGAAATATAAATTGAATAGTATTAGTAGTATTTATACATTATATATACAGGATGTAGAAAAAGTCCTGGACCCCTTAAATATCTTGAAGAGTAAAATTTTGAGAAAAACTTTTATACAAAAGTTGTAGTTGAAAATGATCTATTGACTGGCCTTATTAATTTGACCTTGGATAGTGTCATCAAGGTCAAGTCAAGGTCAAATCGATTTTTTTAAATGAAACACTCTATTTTTGACTTTAGAATCTAATAGCTGAGGTCAGGACCTTCCAAAACTTTATAATAAAGTTTTTTTAATCAGTATTTTTCAAGTTATGAGAATTAAAAATTACGGAACCGCCGGCATTAGCATTATCTAAAGTATTACGTAGAGATTACCCGACTGGATTTATGAGTCATGTATGTGCCTGCGAATGTCTGTATCTCTACTTCCTCCTTCCTCCTACTCTTTCCTTCTCCTTCCCCCCTCTCTTTCACTCCTATTCCTTTCCATCCTCTTTCTCTACTTCCCACCCTTTCAACAAAGCTGGAAACTACATAAGTTAGAAATCTCTCCTGTCAAGTTCACTCTTTCTTTTGAGCTACGATTGAAAAGGTATACTTTTTCGTGATATTCTATTCTGAGATTGCTTATCGCCACATAGTTATCTTTATTTATAAAGTATTTATTTAAAATATTTTATAATGCTTACTGAACAGGAGCGTATATCCCTTTTAATGATGCGAGGATGAAGTGATTGTAGAAGGTCTTACGCATATGTGACACAACTTTTCAATCAAACTTTTAGGAATGAGGACAATGATATATCTAAATCGACTGTTATTCGTACTGTACAACGTTTTGAAGAAATGGGTTTTGTAAAAGACCGTAGACCATAGATAGACAAAGTAGACCAGCAATAGCGACAAATCCTCATAAAAGAATGTTCTAGTCTTTTATCGAAGATCTGCGTAATTCAAAGTTGCACAACAACACATCAATCTTATGTTAGTTCATAAAATTCTAAAAAAGGAAAAATTTCATCCATATAAGATCCATCTGGCGCAGGAACTATGTGAAGATGATTTTGATCGTCGCATTGAATTTTGCAAAAATACGATGTTAAATATCGATAGAAATCTTTTATTTGTAGTCAACATTATTTTTTCAGATGAAGCTACTTTTGAGCTAACTGGGAATATAAATTGACATAATTGCAGATATTGAAGCGATGAAAATCCTCATTGGATGTACGAGGTACATACTCAGACTCAGCAAAAAGTCGACGTAGATAGAATTTTAAATGAAGTCATTATTAGACCTTTCTTTATTAAAGATAAT